AATGAAGAACAGAATCGATTGAGAAGTTTAAAAGTCATGAATGTGCGTGTGAAGTAATCTGTGGTTTCTTTAGAAAGTGACAAGACCTACCTTCTACAATGAAGAACAGAATCGATTGAGAAGTTTAAAAGTCATGAATGTGTGTGTGAAGTAATCTGTGGTTTCTTTAGAAAGTGACAAGACCTACCTTCTGCAATGAAGAACAGAATCGATTGAGAAGTTTAAAAGTCTTGTGAACAAATTACAGATCAGGGAATTTTTTAAATACTTTTTTCATTCCTTATGCCCCCCTCCTCTCCCCAGTGCTAATTCTGAAGGCCTATAATGCTGAAACCAGGTGACCAAATTGTGTAGATTTGTGCTTGACAGTAACAATCATTCCTCAAAACGTTATTTTGTTAAGTTATATTTGTTCTAATGTTTATTGTATTTCTAGTTTACTGCTGTTCATGGTGGTCTTGGTGTACTCTGTACTTCACGTGGTTTTTAAAGTTTATTGTATTTCTAGTTTACATATCTAATGTACTTTGTTAGGATGATAAGGTAACTGTCTGATCAATCAATAACATTATATCTAATGTACTTTGTTAGCATGATAAGGTAACTGTCTGATCAATCAATAACATTAAATCTAATGTACTTTGTTAGCATGATAAGGTAACTGTCTGATCAATCAATAACATTATATCTAATGTACTTTGTTAGCATGATAAGGTAACTGTCTGATCAATCAATAACATTGTATCTAATGTAGTTTGTTAGGATGATAAGGTAACTGTCTGATCAATCAATAACATTATATCTAATGTACTTTGTTAGGATAACTGTCTGATTGACATTTCATATTCTTAGACAAAATAACACTAAAAACGAAACCTTTAAAATGATCAATTAAAACAAACTTAATATTAATAACATTAAAATATACAAGGTTCTCTGTTCTGAAAGTTATTATACATCATTTGGATAAATGAAAAAACAAAATATTCCAGAAATAATACTTACTACGTCTATCATCATCTACACTGTCTTCATCACCATCATGAACAATCCAATCATGCTGATCATCAATATTGTTCAGAATCTTCCACTGGTCTTCATCACTTCTGTTAATGAAGTTGTTCCAAGCCTTGAAGAGGATCAAAAACCACTGATGACAAAAACCAGGTGAAGTACAGAGTACATCAAAGCCATCATGAACACTAGTAAACTTGAAATACAATGAACAGTAAAAATCACTTGAAGTACAGAGTACACCAAGACCACCAGTAAACTAGAAATACAATAAACAGTAAAAACCACGTGAAGTACAGAGTACACCAAGACCACCAGTAAACTAGAAATACAATAAACAGAAAAACCACGTGAAGTACAGAGTACACCAAGACCACCAGTAAACTAGAAATACAATAAACAGAAAAACCACGTGAAGTACAGAGTACACCAAGACCACTAGTAAACTAGAAACACAATAAACATTAAAAACCACGTGAAGTACAGAGTACACCAAGACCACCAGTAAACTAGAAATACAATAAACAGAAAAACCACGTGAAGTACAGAGTACACCAAGACCACCAGTAAACTAGAAATACAATAAACATTAAAAACCATGTGAAGTACAGAGTACAAGACCACAATAACTGTCTGATCAATCAATAACATTCCTTATCATGCTAACAAAGTACATTAGATATAATGTTATTGATTGATCAGACAGTTATCCTAACAATCTACATTAGATACAATGTTATTGATTGATCAGACAGTTACCTTATCATCCTAACAAAGTACA